TGTTAGTTCTATCTAAAAACTAACTGGTGCCTTCTAAAATTCAAGGAATAACCAAACTGAAAGTCTTGTACCTTTGGAGAAGGATTATAAACTCCTTAAAAGAACTGTTGAGTGGATGTTAGCAATAACATCCATGACAATATCAATACTATCTACAATTCAAGAATTATTTTGACCATCAACAATTGTTTGATTTGTATTGTATTCTTCTTCAATGATGTTTTCCTCTTTAGGATCACAATCATGTTTATTGTCAGCTATGAAAGGATTTGAGTTGGCATTATTGAAAAGAAGTCTCAGAATATATTTTGGAGATTCTTATGGTGATGTATCATAATTTATTCTGGACGTGATTTGATTTTTTGATATCTTATATCCACTTAAAGAAACATCTGCTTGGGTAAATGTCATATTTAATGTGACATATGGCTTAGTAATAGTATCTATTTTAATAATTTCAATTGCTTATCATGTCTTGAAAAATGGTAGCTCTAGTCAAGTGAGAAGTAGCTTTATTTTTGAGAACTTCTAACTAATGATACCTGACAGAATTAATGTATTAAGACACACTGGTCGAAAATTGATAAATCATACACACATTGGGTACCCGATGTGTATATGATTTATCAATTTTCGACCAGTGTTAGGAGCTTTAGATATGTTTCACATGATGAAAAAAAGAAAGAAATGAGGTCCTATTTTATACAACCCAATATTTGAAATCAGAAAAGTGTAATGAAGATGAGTTGGCCTTTGAAAATAATACCAATTTTGAACAGTGTGTAAATATATTTTTATGAAATTTCTGATTTTGATAATGCAATTTATTTAATATCAGGTTGAAATGTTCAAAAATCATTCATAACATGAATATTTTATTCTTATTCATAACACAAATTGGAAATCATATAAACTTTTAATAAATAAATAATTTTGTCATAGACCGTCAACATTTAAAACATTATCTGGTCTTCAAATATTTCAGTTAAAAGGTCTTGTTATTATTATATATAATAAAGAAATTAGTCCAACAATTTCAATGTCAAAAAATCTCGCTTACAATATATTAAAAAAAAAGGAAGTTGCTCTTTAAGCACTTAATAAACATCCGTAGATTGATAATTGATAATTCTATTTAAATTAATAAAAATTCTATTCCTGTTTTATTCGAGGAGTTTGTGACCACTGAGATACCCTTTTAAACACGTGTTTTCCTTGTCTTCCTTTGAAAGCGCAAATTATTCTAGTTTTTATAAAGATGGAATTCGAAAGAATGTTGGTATCAACTTTTAAAACGACGTGTTTTTTGTATCCCATCCGACTTATCTTCTTTTCGTAAATTTTAAACGTAAGGACGCGTAACGATTCCGAAGATTGTCTTTCCATACTGGTCGCGACAGACAACCATTTAGGTTATTTAGAAAAAGATCCAATACGCGGAAACGATTCTCTAAATACTTTTAAAGAAATCTTAGAGATCGCAAAGGATCAAAATGTTAGCCGAAATTTTAAGTTTTTCTTTGCATTTTTTATTTTATTTTTACTTTCAATTCTAAATATTAAAACATTTCAATTATTTAAATTAGGTGGATATGGTCTTATTGGGAGGAGATCTTTTTCATGATAATAAACCTTCCCGTAAGACATTATTTGAAACAATGAAATTACTTCGTTCTTATTGCTTTGGGGGTAAAGAATGTAATATTGAACTCGTGAAAGATAAATCAAATACTAGAATCGAAAAGTATATTTAATATCGTAGTTTATTTTACCCTATTTTATTTTATTTTTCAGTAATGAAATAATGATTATTGATTTAATCATTTTGAATTTTATTTATTTTATTTTTACTTGTTCTTTCTAGCTTTGATAATTTTAACGATTTAATTCGTCGTGTTTCGATTCCCGTTTTTTCTATTCACGGAAATCACGATGATCCATCAGGTGTAAGTTTTGTAACTTTTTTTTTTTTCTTTTTCTTATGACTTTTCATATTAACTTAATTCTTTCTTTAACGTAAATCATCATCATTGATTTATATTAAATAGGAAGGAAATCTTTGTGCTTTGGATATACTTTCAGTTTCGGGACTCGTGAATTATTTTGGTAAAGCAAAAGAAATCGATAATATTATAATCAATCCAGTTCAAATAAAAAAAGATGGAATCAAATTGGCGTTATATGGATTAGGAAATATGAGAGATGAACGTTTACATCGTATGTTTGATGAAAAAAACGTCAAAATAAATAAAATTAGTTCGGCACCGAATGATTGGTTCAATTTAATGGTATTACATCAAAATAGGTAAGATAATAATAATAAGTAAAATCCTTTATTATAAACAAAATTACAAAAATTAAATTACGAATTAAATAATCTGAACAGAGTTCCTCATGGTCCAAAGAATTATATACCTGAAACATTCCTACCAAGTTTTATGGATTTAATAATTTGGGGTCATGAACATGATTGTAGAATTGATTATGAGTATAATTCGGAACAAGGATTTTATATTTCACAACCAGGTTCTTCAATTGCTACAAGTTTAATTGAGGGTGAAGTTACACCTAAGTATATATTAGTATATATTTTCTTATATATATATTTGAATATATAAAACAGATTGAAAATATAAAATTTCGAAGAAAACAATTAATTGATAACATTGTATAATTTTTAAATATTATAAAGGCATGTAGCAAAATTAGAAATAAGAGGACCTAAGCAATTTTGTCTGGAGAGAATTAGATTACGAACTGTTAGACCATTTGTAATTGGAGAGATTGCGTTAAAAGATATTCCTGATATTTCTCCTGATGATGCCCCAGCTATTACATCTGCTTTAAATTCAAAGGTAGGTAAGTAATAATAAATTAGTTAATATAATATTAATGAATAAATTCTTATACAATCTATTTAATTTAATATAGGTAGAAGAACTAATAGAAGAAGCTAAAGATAATTGGCTTGAAATAAATGATGAAGTCGATGAATCAAAATTCCCTCTACCATTGATTAGACTAAGGGTAAAAGTTTTTTTTTTTTTTATTATTATTAATTTTAATTGAGAATTTTGTCTATCTCACATTATTTAATTAATATCTATTATAATTTAGGTAGATTATACAGGAGAATTCGGAGTTTTTAATAATCGTCAATTCGGGCAGAATTTTGTAAATCGTGTCGCCAATAATCAAGAAATTTTGTTATTTCATCGTAAAAAAAATATTAAATCAGGTTATTATTATTATAACTTATTATTATTTATTCGAATTTATAATCATTGAAATAAATTTATAACTATATCCATTTTTTTTTAATGACAGGAAATAAGAAAATTTCATCGTCAGAAATGGATGTTCCTGAAAATATTTCACAAGCAGTTGTTAATGATTTAATATCTGAATGTTTAGAAACACTCGATATATTACCAGAAAATGCTTTGGGTGAATCTATTACACATTATGTGGATAAAGATGATCAGGATGCCATTGAGGAGTACATATATATCTTACCTTTAAATAATTAATGATTTATTCCTTAGTTTCTAATTTCTTTAATTAATGATTTATTCCTTAGTTTCTATGATGAAGTAATCGATAATGTAAGAAAACAACTTAATAAAGATCTTACTATTGCAGACGATAAAATCGTTGCGGAACAGGTAATAGGGATACATTTTTATTGGTAATAACAAATCCATTTTCATTATTGAACGAAAATTACATACATATATATATATATTCTTTGTTTAGGCACATAAGCAAAAAATGTTGTTTTTCCAACGATATGCAGAGATGAATCCGGATGAAAGATACAATGAAAGAGTAAAAAAAAAAAATTATTATTATTTTTTAATGGTTAATGGTTACTTTTCACTTACATTTCTGTTTATTAATTCTTTTACTTTTTAAAAATATATAAGACAAGAAATGTTAGAGAACCTCGATCACTCGATGATGAATTTGCTACGGACGATGACCATCATCGTATTGTGACTACTAACAAAGGATCCAGAGCACGGGGAACTAAATCAACGAGAGGAAGAGGTACTCGAGGAAGAAAAAAGGCAACAACCACGCGTAAAAAAACTATAGTAATTTATAATTTCTTTATTATAATATACAAATTATAAAAATGAGATAAGTAATCCAATGTTTGATTACATTTAGAATATTACGGATGATGATGATTTTAGTTTTGATTCTTTAAGATCCACAAGTACCACAAATTCTACGACTAGTGCAACTAAAAGAGCAGCTGCCTTACGATCTACAGCTAAAGTTGCAAATATATTGCAGGTAAAAATATTTATCAAGTTTCATATATATGTGTGTATATGTGTGTATGTATATTTTTAATAAATTCTCTACAATGTATTTATGATTATAGGATGAAGGTGATGATGATTTTGGTAATAGTCGGTCGACAGGCAGGTTACTTCGTAATAAGAAAAAAGTTAGTATATTATATTATTTAATAAAATAAAATAAAAAAAACAATTATTCATATAATTCATGTGTAATTTAGGAGGAGGAGGAGGAGGAGGATGAAGAAGATTTAGAAGACATGGATATCATCCCGCAAAAACAGAGCGTTAGAAAAAGAAGGGTCGTCGAGTAAATATATTTTACTTTAACCTTTGAAAAAGTTATTGAATTCAGTTTTACTGAACTGATTATATTAAAAATTAATTTAACTTATCTAGTAGTGAAATTGAGGGACCCCCCTCCAAGAAATCTCACACCACTCAGAAAAGCAAAGTAAATATTTCACGTCCTATTGAAAGTCGAATGAAATTGGTAATGATAACTTGCTTTTCGGATATTTATTATATTTTACAAAATTTTTACTAAATTACTAACTTTACTTTACTTATTGCATTTTAAATTTAATTAGAATGATGACGATGTATGTAATATATTTTACATTTTTATACTATTCTATATATATATATATATATTAAAATAACACTTTTCAATTCTCCAGGAAGACGATTTCTTTGAAGAGACGTCTACCAGATCATCACATAATATGAGGCGAAATCGTTAATAAAGTAATTATATATATTTAACTTTATTATTATTTATAATGATTTTTACATTAGACTCACTAAAAATAATCAAATAATCTTCCATTATTGATTTGGCAATTTAATGACTGTTTCAATAATGGTCTGCATTTCATCCACTGGTATCTCCGTCGTAACTTCTACTGCCTATTTACAAAAAAAAAAATTTATCAACAAGAATTTTAATTGAGAATTTTTTTTCTTTCTTTTTTAGGGAATCTTGTGTTTATGTACCTTATTGAGTTCTGATTTTATTTCTCGAATTGACAAAGCCATACGATTCGAATGTTCCTTTTTAACTTTTAATTCTGACATCAGTCGCGTGTTTTCTTCGTTTATCTAAATTTTAATTAATAATTAATTAATCAAAATTAATACAACTAATGTATCAATTATGTAATCACAATTATTAATACCTTTGAAAATTCTTCTTTCAAATGTTTTAATTCTTCATCTTTTAAAGGCAAAATCTTTGCTCGTAAAATCGTTTTTGGGCTCATGGGATATCTGAAAACTTAAATATGTAAATATAATGTCATTACTTTTGAGTAAGACATGAACTAAGTATGACTATTAAAAAAAAAACTTACATCAAAGAAGATTGATAACCTATTTCATTTTGGCGTTGTCTTGCTTTATCAATAAGCGCGTCAAACTCGTTCATTTTTTCAGGTATATTACGTTTTTCTAAGATTAAAGAAAATTCCTCCTATAATAAAAAAAAAACAAAAGTAAAGACGCGTCTCTTTATGAATATATATCGATTTTAATAATTGCCAAAATACTACCCAAAAAAAATACCTTGACGTGTTTTCTCATAAATTCTAAAACTTGAACGTGAGCTACACTTAAATCATTTGGATTTGTTTTGGCTAGTGAGGGAAAACATTGTGCCAGTTTCTCATAACTTATAAATGAAATAAAATAAAAAAAATTAAGTCACATTTTATATATATGACTTGGTTAAAAGTATAGTTCGGGAAAGGTTTATGAAAACCTGAAACTGTTTAATGTTTCAGACAGACTTTTCTCCAGAACTTCGTTGAATCTTCTCAAACGTTGACCTTGTTGTGAATGAGGTTGAGGTTGGGAACTTGATGACTGATCAAACGAAAGATTTTGTGTTGACATTTTTAAGTCGCGAATTGAGTTAATCACGGTGAAAATGATGTTACGTATTACAAACTTTCGAAAATAATTATTTTACACCCAAAAAAAGAAATAAAGAAATACCTAATTACAATAAATCTAACGAATTTTGATGAACTTTGATGAATTTTGATGAATTTGATGAATTTGTTTTCCAGGTTCAATTGTCAATTAAATATACTCTGTTTTAATGAATGTTTACTTTTACAAGGATTTTATATATTTTACTTTGTGACAAGCGTTGTCGTGTAAAGCTTTTTAAATATATTACCCAATTTGGTTGATAATCTCTCTCTCTCTCTCTAGATATGTAATTAAATGTAATTCTGACGTATCTCTGCCGGAACCATTTATGGAAGTTGAGTCAATCAATGGGAAGGGACTATAGTAAAAATATAATACGACGTTAAGGTCTCCGTAAAAAATAAACGTGTGACCTTGTTCTACGAAAATAAATCTTATAAATCCTTTTACCTGTTTCTTATTGCAGTTTTAAAGGGGTATGGCTAGTTACTTTTGTTTTGTATTATAAGGATTTGATATTTACAAATTTTTCTATCTCAAGCCTGGACAATACAAGAAGCTTATCATTGACGAAGTTTATATTATACTTTCCTTGAACATCTGAAAAATATTAAATGTATGTATAAAATTTTTTTATATGAACACTCCTGCATAACACTAACTGAGCAACTTTAAAAGATTCAAGGATGTCTTCCGATAATACTCTACCATCAACCACATCCGAGGCAACATTACCTGGTAACTCAACAAGTAGTATTGATGATGACACTCTCCTTACCGAGATCACTGAATACTTTGTTGACCGTGGTTTTCAACCGAGTCTTGTTAGCTCCTTTCTGGCGAGGAATTCTCGTCTTGACTTCAAGGCTAATGAGGAAATTTTGTTTACTTTCTAAATGAACGCGAATAACTAGTTTCGATAATTTTTATTGGTATTGAGGGAAGTGAAGGTGTAAAGTTAGGTGAAGATAAGGAATTATTTATGAAATGGGGTCTTACAGAGGAGGCTACAAACGAACTACGTGATAGTGTGCGTGATGATGATGATGTTTGGTCTCAACGGGGTTTAAAACATTGGTTACTTGATTGGATCTACAATCCGTGGGGTTCATTTACTCAAATAAGTTTTGACAAAATTTTTTACGATCCACAATTTCAACGCAATCAATGGCATAGTTACGAAAGAAAAGGTGGTCCACAAATTTTTGTCTCATCCTATGAAGACATCGTCACTATCGGAGAGGATGCTTTATTGAGGTGCAATACAAAAGTCTCTAATCCAATGAACAGTAACTTCAAGGCCTGCAGACCCAGACTTGATTTTGGATACCTTCAAAGTTTTTACCTGAACCCACCGTTTGATAATGCAGTCAGCGTTGTTAAGAATAATGAGGGATATAATGGAATTGTTATATATTGGGTTGATATGGAAAGAGTAAAAAGCATAAAATATCGGGATTTAATCCCAGACAAGAACTTATGGAGAGAGGTAGTGGTTTCGTCAAGGTGTGAACAGTATTCAGTAGTAGATGATGATGATTTTGTTAATGGACATCAGTTGTCAAATCCAAGACAAATTCTTTCTGCCTGGCGTACATATGGTGGAGCGGATGTTGAGGATTCGCGGCGGAATCTCATCTCCATGACCAGATGGTTTGAGCCTATTCGTCATCTTCAGCTTGCTGTAAAGACTAATAAAGCGGTAAAATTTATACATTTATTTCCACACAAAAAAAAGAATCTTAACTATTTCGAAATTTACTGATAAGATACTCAAGATTGTGTATGTTTTTCCGTTTCTCTTGCACATTCCCACAGCGTATCAAAAAGAAAAAAAAAATAATGTATATGTAAGTTTCAAATTTTTTCTTAATAGTAATGCCCACCACAACAGTCGTAGTTAAAATTTTCCTAATAAAATATATGCAAAAAGCACAAGTAACGAATTGGCGGGATTGTTAATTCATTTTTGGTACTGAGATACCATTTTATATGTTCAGACTTATTCACTATTTCATTGTTCATTACAAGTTGCTTTAAAAATAATTTTTATTGATATACACTCTTTATTAATTAAAACTTTGACAGTTTTAAAACCTAAACTTTATCTTAAATCAAAAAAAAAAAGTTTTTTTTTCCTCAAAAGAATAATAACAGTTTTTTTTTTTTGAGTATTAAATCTTTTTCGTATAATATATTTATAAATTTTATTTCTAACGGACATGGACATTTGGATCGAATCGAAAAATAATAATAATAAATAATAATACAAGAGATAAAATGGGTAGTAAAAAGTTTCTCACAATTTCCTTGATATTATTTATCGTGGTTTGTCTAATCTATAAGTATTTGTTCATATACAATATAAGCATAGGCTTATCTAGAAAATTTTTCCGAAAAAGGTGTAATATAGTTTCAAGGCTTTATGAATTCTGTCATTTATACTCTCTTTTCCTTGGTATTTTTCTCTCTATATTACAAGTGTTCAAAACTGATCGATTTGGAGGTGTTTATCCAATATCTCGTTATCGTTCTTCGATATATTTCATTAACCCTGATCAATAGTATGACGATTCTTATTTCATGTTGGATGGTTATTTAATATCTCTTTTTATTATTTTTGTTACAAATAATTTGTAAAAAAAAGATCACATTTTTCTGTCTCATATATTTTATCGATGTAAAAAAAATTTATTGTATAAAATATTTATTATAATTTGTATTTTATAAACTTTCAAATGAAAAAAAATAGATTCAAGATAAAAAAATAAAAATTAAATATTATTATAATTTTCGCTTCATCTGGGTTATTTTATACATTTGTATTGAATAATTTATAAACTTTCGTTACGCGTTGAATGCAAATTATATTGTCACCAAAATTTACCAAAAAAAGCGCCAAAAACATTCGAATATAATTGTTAAATTTAAATTAAAATTTTTTGAAAAGTGTTGACTCCTTTGATTGCTAGATTGCTATCAGCAAAAACTGCCCGTGATTCGAAGAATTTAATTAGCTATATAACAAGAACATGAAATTTTATAAACGTAGAATATATAACAATAATAGCAATAATAATAATAATAAATTATAAAAATACAAATACTAAGAGGACATCTACTGCTAACGTGTGTACGGTATGTTAATGCAAAGATTCAGTTTTACTCCTATTAGATAATTTATTTTTAATAATCTATTGACATTTTTAATTCGAAGATTTTAAATATTTTAAATATTGAAAATAAAAATCACGAAATACCACAGAATAACAGCATATATTTCATTATCTCAAGGATCTCGAAACATAGTAACAATTTTATTAACATAATTATCCCAATTCGGATCAAAGAACTGTGGAATATTATAACCGTTGGGTGGTGATGATTTAGGAAGTACTTTCCGTCTTCGAGGTTTTTCTTTTTCAGTTGAATCCTGGGAAATACTAGTTAAGGTTACTACTGTAAAAGATCGAATCCGTTGAATTTTATCCTCGCCAATGTCGTTAAATAAATTATAGATTTTCTGAGCTCTCTCCTTTATCTTAAGAAGCATGCTTTCACTATTCGTTTCAGGGAGCTACGCTCTAATCTCATTGTTAACTAACTTCTGTGACGTGCGTTTAAAATTTGTTTTCCTATAATAATAAATCGCTCCTCAAGCGTTTTTCCGAAATAAAAATAAATGTCGAATAACTTCTTGCGTTGACTTTTTATTTATTTCTTCGGTATTAATTATATTTTGATACAATTTAAAAAAATTACTTGTCCCTTTATTTGTCCCAGATAAAGATTGCATTAATGAAATATTACCGGTTCATCCATTCTCAATTCCTTTGCAGAGTAGGTACTTATCTCTATTAATTGGTTTCTTGGCTTTCTTATAATTACTTCTAACACGTCAATGGCTGATAGATAACTGAATGCTAAATCAAATCATGGATTTTTGGAAATTATCAAATGTTAAACCACTCTTTTCTATTTTCTTGGCGTATTGATATATAATACGTGCAGCTACATACATAAATAAAATAAATAAATAATAATAAATAAATAATAATGAATAATCAAATAATAATGAATAAATAAAATATAAACAAAAAATAATAATTAAATAATATATACCATCTTTAAATTCTTACAACCTTCCGGACTTTAATTTAAAATTAAAATATAATAAATGTTAATTATATGATATTATATTAATTACATAAAAATGTCGTTGACAATTCAAATAGTGAGTTGTCACATGTCTATAATAACCAATCTTGCGATAAAATTATTGAGTTACTGGTGTAAGATAGAAGTATCATTTCATTTGCTATATTTAATTAGAAATTAATATAATAAATAATAAATAAAATAATAAATAAATTGAAAAAAAAAATTTTAAAATAAATAAATACTCTTTGTTGGTTTTTCATTATACCATACCACAAGAAGAAAAATTCTATTATCTTGATACATGTATTTTTTTTCCAATCACGATTAACAATATTCAATATTCTCAAATTTTTTTGATATCTTTATATCAACTAGTATTATAAAACCAATATTGAGCTCCTTGTATTTCTAATGCAAATTGATATTTTTGAAAAAAGGAATTGAATTATAATCCACACAAGAAATGAGGACGATACTCAATTATCAGTTTTTCATTTGGCTATTTGAATGCATTTAGTTTGGAATTTACAATTTTTCATAAATCTCAATTCTTTTTTGATTACTATTACATCCTGTTTCAATTTCACAATTCTAGTTTTAAGTTTAGCTCTTTCAGCCTCAAATATATCAATTCTGATTAAAAGATCATTGTCTGCATCTTCAAGTTTAGAAATTCTTTCATTTAACAAATCAATTCTAGATTGTATACAAAATATAAATATATTTAAAAATTGTTTTATTAGTATAGTTAAATTCTCGATTTGGTATGTATGACATAATGATATATTTTTTGAACTGATATTTGTACAGGGATTGAATATAATAATATCTATGAATATTAGTTTTATCCCTAACGAAATGTTGTATCAATTTTTTAGGTGATTCTGATAGCCACAACCAAGTATCACATTCAAGACGTAGTTATACTTACTCAAAAATTACCACAACTTGATTATAACCTATATAAAGTGGGTATAACATAATTATGTTATACCCACTAGTAATTCTCTGAATTATTTAATTTCCTGTAACATTATCCATTTAACAATATTACAATTAAAAAAGAAGCACGAAGAAATTACAATTAAAAAGAAGCACGAAGAAATTAAAAGCACCAATAATAAATAATAAGAAATCGGGATGATAAAGTTAGAAGCATTAATAGATTTTAATAAAGTATCAAAATAATGATCTTCAAATATTAAATAGTTAATAATAGAATTTTAGAAATGAGCCCAAATAATGTTCTTACATTAAAGTTACCGATTCTCCTTGCACTATTTTTCTCAAGTAAAGTTAATTTACATAAAATAATAAAAATTATTTGTTTGTTAAGTTTTTAAAAAAACATATATAGTTTTATAACTTTGTTTTATAAATTACAGCATAATGACATTATGTAATTTATATCTTCCCAAAAAGAATACAATGTGCAAGTGTTTTAGCAATCGCGACTTACTGCGATAATATAATATGATTGTAAATAAATTAGTTAATTATTTGTCAGTTTTATGAACGCCAAGTTATTATTGCCAAACCTAATGGAACAGATCACAAGATAATTTTAGGCAAAGAATTCAAAAAATTACTCCACACTTCAAATATGGTGCAATAATAATTTGTTTCACATTTTGCAATTGCAAAAGAATCAGCAAAAATATTTAAATATCTCAAAGCTTTTGTTCTAAAAAAAAAAGAAATTCTGAACCATGTCTCAATGGTATAATATTCCAAAGAATGAATCCAATTTATATGGTCATTAAAGATACGTTAAACTTTGTGATTTTTCACCAAGATATTCTTAGAAAAATTTGAAAGTTCTTGTTTATAGCTTCCCAAAGGTAGTTTAATCATTGTATAAAAATAACATTCCAAAATCGGCTTGAAAAAGTTCTAACTCTGCGCATATATTCATAATATTAAGAATTCGCTTGTTATATCAAAATTCGTTATATAAAATATATTATTATTAAGAAATTTGTTTGTTATATCAAGATTCGTTTATACCCAAACTTTACGCATTTAATTATCATTTCGATAATGATGTTTTTAGACGTTTAGCATTTGCCAATTATCAAACACCAGAAGAAACTGATCTTGTAGTATTGGCATTATACTCAATAACAAAGCCGAATTTTGCCAAAACGTAATATTTAACCAACCAAATTTACCAGATTTCTAATTAATTTCCTTCGCTATAATTTTATAACGAATTTAAGGTAAAAACCTAGGGTTGGTTATATCGAGAGTTGGCTGTATAAGTCAACACCGATAGATAAAAAAATTCATCAAAACATTAGAAATCAAATAAATCTCCCACACGAATTGCCTTGTATGTACAAGTCAATTATACGCTGGATTGATTAGCAAAATCTAAAAAAAAAATAGCCTTTTATGTACAAGTCAACGCTGATCGTTATATGGATTTTCCGCTTTCCCTAGCATAGGGATAGTTTGTTTTTATTGGCCGGTATGATCAACAATCTCGTGATTGACATGATGATCAAAATTTCGAT